AAACCAATGTGATGGAGAAGTGCCAAAAGAAACCTCAAGGAGCTTAATAAGTGGCAATCTTCATAGAAACAAATTTTAAAAACATTTATCATTTATATAAGAAAACACCTTTCTTTTTATAAACAACTAATAGCATTTAATACACAAACCCATATGGAAAATTCAAACATATTAAAAGCAATAATTCGACTCTCTGTTTAAACTGTTCTTTAGGAACGTCTATGTGGGAAGACTGTTCTTATCTTTGAGCCTCTGTATAAAACACTAAACTGTGTTTGAGTTGTGCGACAGTAAGGAGGTCTATAAGACAACTACAGGTGGAAAACTGGTGAATTCATTATTAAAAGTAAAAATATTACAGAAATGCTGGGGAAGTAAAATTTTTATAGAGCTGTAAACTAATAAAGTAATTTGATATTGATTGACTTGGTGAACAGTAAGAATACTAACCTGAGCAAACAGTAACTGGGAGGGGTGTCTACGATTTTCACAAAATATTATCTTAAAGCTCGCTTCTGGAGTCGAAAAATAGATTCCAACTTGACTGGATGGGTGCTGGCCCAATCAATATTAGAGTACTTGATATATGGATACAACGTTGAATAATACAACATGGAACTTTATTAATCAGGTGCCAGATTTTACCTTGTATACTAACAACTTTGGCTATTTTTGTACTAACAGCACTACCATGAGGTTTCCAGGATAATGAATCATCTATTATAACACCAAGGAAATGATTGGATTTAACATTATTAATGGAAATATTATCAATTTGTATTTGCATTGTAGATTTAAATGTATCAGGCTTAATACTAAATAATATATAACTTGTTTTTTTATGTTAAGTGACAGTTTATTTGACTTAATCCACTTGTCAAGTTCTTCATTAACTACCTTTATTAAAATTTCAGGGTTTTTATGAGAATGAAACACTTGTGTGGTCTGCAAATAAAATTTTTGAAAGTTTATCTGAAACATTGGGGAGGTCATTAATATATATAATAACGGAACGCTGTGGTAAACCGCACTGAATGAGAGGCTGCTTCTGACAAACTGCAGCTCCTCAGAATGAAACTTAGTTGTTTTCTTTTATCTGGACGTGTTTCTGCAGCGGAGCCTCGAGCAGGCAGAGGATTCTGACTCAGRTTGTGCTGCTGGCCTAGAATCACTGAACTGCAGCAGCCGGACACACAAAGAAACCTTTTCTTCTACAGACTTTTATAAATAATCCTCCTAAATCTGCTGCTCGGGCTCAACCTCTGCTTGTGTTTTTTAAGTTCAAGTTCAGTTTATTTATACAGCGCCAAGTCACAACACACGTTGTCTCACGGCACTGTACATAAAAAGAACAATCTAAAGAAGAAAGCAGCAGATTGTGTTGAATCACTTCATCACAGTCTCCCATCCTGAGCAAACGGTGGAGAGGAAAAACTCCCTGCTAATCAGGAAGAAACCTCCAGCAGAACCAGGCTCAGGACAGGAGACCATCTGCCTCGACCGGCTGGTTGAGGGACAGGAAAGAGACACAGTCAAACACAGAAGAACTGGTCTTGGACTGGTCCAGGTGGACCTTCTTCTGGAAGAGACAAAG